TGTGGATTGACAATTCAAGCCTCGCGATTATTGACACGAGAGTTTCGCACATTCTATTCGTGCTCAGCCGCGGTTGCACAAGTTTCACCGTGCTATCCCTGAGCTGAACTCATTTCGTAATAAGCTTGGCTGCTCAGCTACATGAATGTTTCTCGGTTCTCACACTGATGAACACTGATCGAACATTAAATGCGCCTCTGCCTCAGTGACGTTTATATTCTTTTTGGTATGGAAAAGCGTAGAGCATACTTCAGTCTCTAAGCTGCTTACAAAATAAGACGGTAAATTCGTAACTTAGTTATCTGGATTTTCCGGAATGATGAATCGTTTAGTTTATGTCCTATTGGTTCCTTTACTTTCTCGCTCAACAATTGTCTCATGTTCTAGAGAATATCGGCATTCAAGTTGATAAACTTAATTTGAGAGATCTAATTTAGCTCACCCAGGATGATAACACTTTTTGAATAAGTTTTCTGATATTTCTTGAGTTGCTTTTTTGTCTCATCGATTCAGGTACCAGTTAGCGTGCAGTGTTCCGTATAACACAGAGTAGCAACTACATATGAAATAATGGTATGCACAATCCCCCACAAACTTGTACCGCAGTTTCACTAGATCCTCTAAGCTTTTGATCTAGGTTGTTTCAATGCAGTTTTTAATAAACATTAACAATGCATCTTCGTGTTGTGATTTTGGTTGTTGTTTCTTGCTTGACCACTTGGATGAAGCAGAAAAGAGGAGATTGGAATGTTCAAATCAATGTCAAGGTGAAAACAGAGAACTCAAGATTAAGCTTCCAGATATTGGGAAGATGCACGAGATCCATTTTTCACAAAGTTCAGCCATAGCGCTCGCAGTCTCTTACCATCGATTACGCTGACCCCGATGTCAACATACAGGAAAACTAAAGCGACCATGTGAGCAAGACTTACATTCATGGTTTTCATACCTCCAGGACTCTCTTAGGACGGAGGGCCCAGAACCCGTCAACCCGCGCACGAATTCGCGTGACACCACAAGCACGCTTGCGGCGACCAAGGCGAGTCGACTCCGGATTGGATGAATAAGACAGCTATCATCCAACCGACCAATCGGAATGTCAAGGACGCGATCTGATTGATGCGTCACTAAGTTGTTCTCGTACGCCCAACCTAACCAGTTGCATTTGAGTATTGCAGCATGATCATAGAATAAACTTTCCCTGTTATTCTCCATTCGTGCTCTCTTTCTATCCGATGCCATTTTAGGGGCTAAGGAAGAGGCGCTCGAGTTGGTCGTACGTCTAGGCAGAATATAGTCTTGATTCGACTACTGTTTACTTTACTTAACCCATCATCCACATCTACCAAAAATGTGTGCCGTGGCATTTTATTTGCGCAACCAAAGTCATTTATGGAGTTTGGCTCCAGTTGGCGATCGCAATCGCCTAAAAATGTGCGCCTACTCTCCGTGTTGTTTGTGCGGTTTCCCCTAACAAAGTCATAAAATGCGGCGTGGACAGCAGTGTTCGAACACCAGCAGTCTATCGTCATCATGTGGTTTCAAAGGTCGATTCTGCGCCGTACAACAGCACCGGCCGAACTGCTGCAGCACATAAAGGTCGACGGGAGAGGGCACTCTGCGCAATCGAAATTTGAACAAAGAACATCAAATTGCGAAGTTGTACGACGCATTTTGGGTGCGCACTACTTGAGATGCAGCGAAATGATTTGGAAATGCATCGACGAATTTTGTAGGTCTGTTCTTTTGCGTAAATATGATCGATACCACCTAATTGATATTGCCATGACTTTCGTAGAGCGATCCGTGAGTAATTCCAGAATAGTACGTTAGACTGCTGACAGTATTATGCGATTCACGTACGTGCGCATACTCGTGATCACCTGACTAATATGATAGTTCCCAGAGGCTGTCTATCCATATCTAGGTCAGCGAATTCGCAATCGAGTGTGCTGTTATGGTCACATAAAGCGCGGGTTTTGCGCACACAGCGTTACGACAAAATGATTGTTTAGTACGAGTTATATTGCCGTTCACGCAATTCAGTTTACACATAACAGCCTAAACCAAACTACGGGATGAACAGTGAAAAAAACCATACGTGCTCTGAAGAAGTGGCCTAAGAGTATTTAATCGGAAATAAGGAATGCCATGGGAACAAAACACTTGGTGCCGTGACCAAGGTTACAACCTAGTGAGAGTAGGACGAATTCTAAATCCAGTTTGAGGAACAGTTACTTGTATAACTACAACGAATAGATGTGTTTCCTACGTTTTTTCGACGATGACACAGTCATCGACATGGACCGTAGGACAGGAGTCATTTTCCTTGACAAATGGTTTATGGCACACCGGATGAGGTATAATCAGTTCGAAACACCCGTACAGTACTTTCTAGGTTTTCAGTTCCCGCTTCGTTTGCTTTACAAGAGACGAAATACATGATGTAATCGAATTGAATCTTCCACTAATCTCATGTACTAATCGTTTTTCTTTATACAAAACTATCAATTATGCTGATGGTTTTAGGATTGGTCGTTAGTAGAACTACTTGTTTGGAGATCGATAATCAAATTTATCCTTGATAGTGAATACCGTAATACACTAAGTATTCAATCTAGGGCATTACGGATCAGTCAGCTGATCGACCATCTGCGAGACTGTGCAACAGTCGTTTAGGTGACCTAATGGCAACTATTCTACCATCACGCGATAAAGTCAAATGTGGTCCATCATTGAGGATAATCGGTCAATTACGACCAAATCGGAGCTGGTCACCCCTAGTTATATGTAAAAAAATACCGCTCAGACCGTATCTTCTTTGAACCGTCTATTAGGAACCATCGGTCAGCGGGTATTGTGTTTACGAGAATAAGGACTAAATAATAATAATAATAATAAGTTGTAGTTGTAGCAGTAGTAGATTAATGCAAGCACCTGGTTATTAAACAAATACATAAACCATCTCCCGGCAAACGGTGGTCAAACGGTTAAGGCTATCGACTTATCGCCTCGGAGGACGTGTTCGAAACCCACCACGATCGCCTAACTTTCCCCAAAGTGCATATATTGCATGTGAATCCTTTAGTTGACGGCTTATCCCATCCTGAAAATTGTACCATTATAGATGATAAATAACAGGAAGAAGAATGAATGGACACACGAACTTCAACGAAGTCAACGAATATCGGGGACAAAAATGGCAGACTTATTCACAGTACGCCTGAATCGAACTTACTTTCAGTGCAAGTAGACTCTTATTGATCTCCGCGCCTTCCATTCGTGTATGACGATCGGAACTGCTCGTGTCCACACCACGTTCGTTTCCAGCAAGGTCGATTAGGGAGAATTTGCCATGCAATTTGTTTGTGGCTTGTTTTTTCAAGATTAGCTATTAGAGAAGGAAGGAAGAGTAGAAAAGGACATGAATTCGAACCAGCGACGATAATCAAAATAATGTTCAAAAGACTGAGATACAAAGTTTATTTTTATTCATATTTGATCTAGTTCGTTGAAGAACGTGCTGAAATGAGATAAAAACATTGTGGCGAGTGATGAGAACTAATACTGTTCTCGCTCTGTGTGCGGGGGCGAGGGTAGGGAGAGAGAGAGCATTTGATTCTCACAGACAGAATAGTAATGAATGTGGATGAAAAATAAGACACCAACGAAATCACCTGCAGTTCAGTCGAAAGAAACGATTTATTAACATCAAACTAGGATTATTATTCAGCATCAATACTGAAAGACCGTTTTGCTGTGCGAATTTTTATCAACACGACACAGAACATCAGTGATGGGATAGAACCAAAAGAATTAGTAAGCGAACGAAATATTTATGAATAAAACGTTTCACAACATACAGGCGACATAACATCGTGGGAATATGAGATCAAAATCAGAATTAGTGTTTGTGCGTGTGAAAAGTAGTGACCAGGGAAACAGAGATGGTGATAAGGAAAGTGTTTATTTCATGAATGAAACATCAGTGGGAATCGAATAATGTCATGCACACGGTTAGCTGTGTGGTCTATTCTGTGGATAGAGATCAATGTTGACTAACCTGAAAAACAGCGTGTGATCGACTGGAATGTTGATTCGCAGACGTC